AAAATGTTTAAAATTAGATGCCAATCCAAACACACCCTTGTCAGCGGCAAAAATGAGCGGAATATATGAACATGTTATTAGATGTCACCTATTCAAATTATTCAGCAAATCAACACATTTTTTTGGGGGTGTGGGGTGAGGGGGGAAGATCATTTGAAAATTATTCTAACAACGGCTCAAACTTGACATTTTTCTTCTTAATATATTCATCTAATTTGAGTTATACATTAGAATTCATTGTTCTACTACTCACCAAAATGCAAACACACACCATCAAATTTGGAAGATCTACCTTTGCATTCAAGGGGCCCCTTCATTTGATGGGTTATGCTACTATGCAGACTTAAACTGCACAATACTTTTTTTTTTTTTTTATAAAAAAATTAATCTCATTTTAGCATTTTTGACATCTCTTTCCGATTGTTCTAGGGCTCAAACATTATATTTTTAACTAGGAATTTCATGTATAAAAACTCAATAACCATTGTAACATCCCTTTAATCTTAACCATTTATTAATTGACTATGACCTAGTAGTAACCATTGCAACATCCCTTTAAACCTAACCTTATATTAATTCACTATGACCTAGTAGCATATTTCAACCTGTCTTGATATCAAGGTAACTGAACAAGAAAAGATCTGAAGATCTGAATAGATCTGAATAGGACAATGATAGTTTTTGCTTTGTTTTCCCCTTTTGCACTTGTAAAAGGTGTAAAACATCGCAGTAATGTAAATGGTCCTATAAAAAAGGGACAGTAACAGCCACTAAAGGCAAGATAAATTCTGTGGGTTTGGAATTCTAAAATGGAAAGATAAAACATTATTGGCTGAGGGAGAGAGTAGTGAGTGAATAACGGTCCCACCTTGGAGACAGGGTTGTGGAGCAACAATAACATCTTTAGAAAATGCTTTAAAAAGAATGGAGCCCACTAACTAGAATATGGGTTGGCCCATCACTTATGACCATTGATTTGAAATCTAATTGGGCCCACTTATACTAACTAACAACGCAATAACCAGAAATTAATTTCTTACTAAGTGCAGTACCAAACTCAACCAACCAAAGAAAACAATTAAATGGTATGGTGCATAACTTCTAAACTTGCTTTAACCATTGCATTATTAAGAACGTTAAATAATTGATCTCCTTCAAATTAATTGAAACTTACCTACTACTAGCATAATTTTATTTTTAGATTAAGGTTTGTGGAACTAAGTTATTAATAGTAATTGATTTTTGTATTTATATACCACTCATAATTATTTTTTATTTTTGCGTAGAATTGAGGTGTTAATTTTTAATTAAAAATTTCAGAAAAATCTTGTTCCCAATGGCTTAGATTAAGTGCTTAGAAATTACCTTAGTGAAGTAGGTAGCAATGTCTCCTAAGTCTTGACTCCTCAATGGCTAGTATCATTACATTTTGTGTTTGATCAATGATTTGTTGATTTAAATGAAAAAAATTTGATCCTTTTTAATAAAGTTTTAAATTTAAATATTATAAATAAAGAAACAAGTGTCAGAAGAATTTTTCCTCTTATAGGATCTTATACGACTTTATTTCAGATGAATTGAAATTTAATATGGCTTTTGAATATTCGAAATTAGTACAAAAAAAGAAAAAAGAAAAAAAGAAAAGGGGGTTCCGTGTTTGAACTCGGGCTACCCCTTACCATCACTTAAGACGAGGAAATGCCTAGAAATCAGAAGTGCAAATGCAATAGAAACTACGGACTACAGTCAATGAATGTCGCATTAAAAACGCATGGTAGGATCCATAAACTGCTGAAAATTAATGAAATTAATATATGTAATGTGAATTGTTGGTAATGTCACTGTTGTGGCACAAACCCTGGATCGTGCTGGAAAACATACAGGGTTCCTTGTAAATTTATCTAATTCCACCCGAACCTTTGTGCATAACAGCTGGAAAATGCTGTCCTGATAAGAACTAGTAGTGATGTGGCACGGATAGTTCCATCTCAGCCAAAACAAAAAATAAAAACAAAAACCCATAAATAATGACATCATTTGCTCCAACATTAGGTTGTTAATGTGTCACGCGTAGACTAATGCATATCTGGAAATCAAGGTGGAATATATGCTGAATATATAATAAGCATGGTTATGCCATTTCAAGATTGAGAAATAGGGCATGTTTGGTTGGCAGTTCTCGAAGAAACTGTTGTCCTTGAGAATTGTTGCAGAGTGTTTGTTAGTCATTGAAATTTTTAGTTAACTTTAATTTTAAAATTTCTTGTTTTAGTAGATAGTAACAAAATGTAAATATGATGATGCTGATTCGAACATCCATATGATGCATGTTTGATACTTCCATGTGATGTAATTTAGTGTCTGAAAAACTTGGTCACTTTATATGGGACAGTAGGGTTGGGAACATAGAATTTTTCAACAAAAGAAATTGAGAGCTACAAAGACTGTTCGGTATATAATACAAAACTCTGGTACAAAGGAGCAGCAGTGAAGGACCACAGAACATTTTGTTCATATTTTGTTTTTGCAAGTAGACATTAACCGAAAGCAATGGAATCCGAATCAATACCTCAAAAGCATACTGTAATGACGTTCCCTCATCATGAGGCCAGCGAAGGCCAGCAAGACACTGACAATCAAAGTTATGAGGACTAGTTGCAAAGCCCAAATAAAAGTTCATTTAAGTAGGCAGAATAGAATCAATAGCAGGTAAATTAAGATACAAGAAGCTTGCAACTCCCAAACTTTCTAGTTGAGTAACACTTTTCTTCTGTCATACTATTACATAAAACCAGTAAAACAAAACTAAGTGTGTTATTTGACACAAACAGCTTGTATGTAGGTAAACAAAACAGAATCTTTTAGCTAAAACATGGAAGGACAGTAGGGGAAAGTCAGTCTCCTGGACAAGGAGCTATCACTGTGCCTTTTTCTCTGTCAAGCAATGTTAAGGAGGTCTAGATTACACGTACACAGCGGAAACACGGACTGGCATGTTTGTATGCATCCGTGTATTTATGTATAAGCAAGACATAGAGAAATCAATTGATTGGCCAAACACTGAAGATGTGCAAAATAGGACTAGTTTAATTGGTAGTAGTAACACCATCTCTTTAACTCTACACTTGAATATTTGTATCTGTATCATAAATGAGCACACAGACCCAAACGTACACTCACGCTGCACTCTGTCAGCACGTAAAATAATTAGGGATGAACCAGACCACTAACAAAGTAAAAGAGAAACCAATCTACACCCAGACGAAAAGAGTTACTAAGGAAAAAACAACAGAAGCATCATATGAAGACTAAGCTGAAGAATATCTCTAAAGAAATCTACAGTTCCTCAAGAGGACAAATGTCACTTGGTTTCAAGTCTAAAGCATTCCATAGCGATGCTTCATTATCCTTTTAATTTGTGTCTACTAGCATGCCACATCCCTATCTATAGATGACTAATATCTTCACCAATTTGTTTTCTTGAAGCATGTTTTTGCTTTCATAAATTAGAATTGAGAACCTCGTTCGGCATTTAAAAATGTGAACAGCATTCAACTAGGGCTGTATGTATATTGATTAGATATGCACCTCATCTCAACTACCCTCGCACTCCCTTCACAATCACACTTCAATATCATCCTACTTTGTGTACTCAGACTTCTCAATCTCAAGGATTATTCTTCTGCACCTATAATCCATACCCTCGGTTTCCTCAGAAGTAATTTGCTATAGCTTCTTAGTAGTTTCAAGGGCCAGCCAATTTTTTTAACTAACAACAGTAACAATACCATGTAAATCTATTGGTAAAATTCCCTCATCTTGGAGACATGCTCATCAGATTCATCAATGTTATATCTAACTGCCATGAAAGCCATAATGGGCTTTAACTACAAAGCTCTGGCAAGATGAGGTGTATCGTCTTAAGAGTCCAGCTTGTAAAAAAACCATTCCCAATCTCAAAATTGACATGGAAAAATTTGTCATTGTAAAACCCCAACCAAGCCTAAACAAAGTTGTAATTGGTCATCTCATAATTCCAAATAGGCTCAAAATGTATGAAACATAAGCAAATTCTCTGCAAATTAAAAATTATAAATAACAGTTCAATAAAATCAATAACACATCATAGAAACATCATCTAATAACTAAAAAAGGGAAAATAAAACAACAGGGAGCCCAGTCTTACATTGTGTGTGTTAATGTCATAATTGCAAACAAAACATCAAGTAGCATTCTATTGCATTTGAAAACTAAGCTATGGTTGGAGTGAAGATGGTCTGGAGCTATCAGTGCGGGCCTGGATCAAATCTGGATAGCCCTAAAAGTATAATGAGTAAGCCCATGCGCCCAAAGATACCTGGATCCTGGACTCATCAGTCATCACCATTACTTTATTAAATATCGCAATATATTTCCTATAGTTATTTTCATTATTAACAAAGCAAAAAAGTACTTAAGGATATCCCATAAAAAAAAAACAAAAAAGACTTAAGTTTTATTGATGGTGATAATTATATTATTCCATTAAAAATTATTAGAGCACTACTAAACAAAATTATTGAAAGTCTGGACCTAAACAAGTGTTAAAATTGCTTTATTTAAAAAAATATATATTAAACAATTCTCAATAAATGTTAAAGGTGCTACATCTAAGATTAAACCCTCTTAATTGTGTCTTTTTCCCCCCTTTTTATTTTCGCATCCCGAATTTTCCTTTGTTCAAAAATCAATTATTGGCAGCCTCTCAATAATTCCTCCTCTATTTGTTAAATTAGATACTTAAGAAGAGATAAAAGGTAGCCATCTCTTTTCTCATTTTTCACTCTACTCGGATGCCATCATAGCCTGGATGCTTGATCTTTACTTCCAGACAAAGGTTATCTGACCTTGGTAGTTGATAGATTTCTTTATTTCTAAGTCCCTTTTTAGTACAAATACCCCATTTTATGTTACCATTTTTTCATTTCCAAAATTATCTTCAACATTTTACATTAGGATGGCTGACATTCGAATCTCTATTTGCTCTCAACTTTTAAAGGGGGAAAAAAGAAAAAACAGAGAAGGAAGAAAAAGAAAAGAAAATGAAAAATTGCCATCACTGCATAAAATTAATCAGAGGAGACTACCCCATGTTTACATACTTTTCATAGGTAAGAACCCTGATCTTACATACCACAAACTTAAACTTCCCCTCATCCGGTCACTTCTTTCCCCTCTCCACCACAACAACAACATATACAATAACAAACACTTATATTATCAATTTATTAATCCCCTGACCTGCCCCTCCCCTTGTGACTGCAAAAAACTGCTACAACGTTTAGAGTACGTCATAGAAGGTTGAGGAATCCCCATTTTGTTTGTCCGTTTTTTGAAGCAAAAACCTGCAAGTCTCCACTGCATGATTGATGGACAAGTAGACGGATTCCTTCCCTATCAGGTCTATAAACTTTGACAACATCAGTTTTTCCAGAACATCCCTCCTGGGATTTATTAGTCCCATCTGTAACATAATTGGATGAAGATTAATTTCGTTAATTTTTGCTTGTTTGTTCTTATTTTCTTAAAATATATGAGAATTAATTTGATTTTTTTTCCCATTTACCTTGATACCCTTTGATTCCATCATTCTCCTTAGTTCTGCTAAGGTCTCTATCCCTGTCATGTCAATTGTTGAAACTCCTGGAAAACAACAAATAATCCATAAATTTGGTATTTTGGTTGATGTTACGGTTTTTCAGTTGAGACTCATAAAAAGGAAAATTCCACTAGAGGCTTAGGATTTAATTTTTCAAAACAATCGCCCATAATTACCTGTCAAATCAAGCAAAAGATGCTCAACAATATCGGATTTAGGTTTCGAAATGGCCTGTTCCTCTTCTATGAACCGTAATACCCTGTTTAAGGTTTAATCCCACAGGAAAATAATTTATTAGAATTTTCACCCTGCATCACAATTTGGTAAACATTTTTGTATATCAACCTCTTAATAAGAACCATATTTACATGTAATTACCTTTCTCTTATATAGCTGCAGTTTGCAAAATAAATAGGCGAGCCAAGCTGCAGAACTAGAATTCCAGGGGTATTGGTCGCAACAGGGTACTGCTCTGTATCACGATATAAGTTTGAATTTGGGAGTTTTCCAAGCTTACAATTTGCTGGCCTTGCAACATACAGAAGTGCTCTCAGTATTGCAAGCCCCACCTGAATCATGTAATAGAAAGTTTATAACTTATAACTGACAACTGACAGTTAAGAAAGCTGAGTCCTAAGTGTTTGGGTTACTTACAGAAAGAATGAGACCAACGTCCATGCTAATGAAGCTGACGCCAAAGAACGCTGTCATGCAGATTAAAAAATCGAATTTGTCTACTTTGAAGAGGTGATATGCCGCTTCATAGTCAATCAACCCTAACATGGCAGACATGATGATAGCAGACAGAGCAACTAGAGGGGTATAGCCGAACAGAGGAGCCAAGAAAAGCAGAGTAAGCATCATGCAAAATCCCATCACTACGTTTGACATTGCCGTTCGGCATCCCGCATTGAAATTAACAGCCGTCTTAGAAAATGGTCCTGTATATATATATATTTTTATTATTGGCAGAGAAGTTAGTACTTCCCAAACAGCACCGAAAAGAAATTTTTTTTTTTTTTAAAACGTATTTTTTATTTACAAAAAAGTTACGTACAATTTGCCTTACATTAATAATTACAAACTGAATTATAAAATAGTTATTTTTTTAATTAAAATTGATAAAAAATAAGTTAATTCTCTTAATTTTTTACCGGTTGTCAAGTAGCACGACGTGAGGGATCCAACAATGTTCATGAGACCAAAGGCCATCATTTCCTTACTCCCATCAGTTTGTTCGTTTTTAATTATTGCGAAGCTCCTGCCAATTGCTATTCCTTCCTGAAAATTTTTTTAATTTAAACAAAAAATTAGGTTTTTCTTAAAAACAAAAAAAGAAAAAAGAAAAAAAGACGAGATTGACCCTTAACAGAGAAGATGGGGGTTCTTACAGCGAGTGCGATGAGGCCTGTAACAATTCCGGCTTTCATAACAGTTGGTAGATAGCGGCTGTCGAAGGTTAAGAATTGGATTGACGGAGGATTCAAACCTTTCTTCAAGGTACCCACCTGCAAAGAAGGATAAGAAAATGGGGGAAATTAGAAATATATAAAAGATGAAAAGAGTATATGAAATTACAAGGCATAGGAAAAAATTTAAAAAGAAAACATGGAGCAGGGCAAACGAGGAGGAGGAGGGTGGATTTACAATTTGGATGCCGTGTTTCTCTGCATGGGCAAAGTAAGCGAACAGACAACCGATCACAACAACCACCATCGGAGCCACAGCTGAGACCCAAAATAGTCTTGGCCTTTTTCGTCTCTAATAAAAAAAATTATGCAAAATATAAGAATCACAACACAAAGTTAATTGTTTAATAATTACGATTGATTATTTATAAAAAAAGATTCTTTAAGATAAAAATGATTAATTTTTTTATTTTGATTATATAATGAGAGATAATCATCTCTTATCTTTTATTTCACTCCACTTGCATATTATACAATTTAAATTTAAAATCTCTTATTTTTAATAAAAAAAATACTAATTTATTTAAGTTGTTGATAAAAAAATAAAAAGTGTTCGCCTTGAGAATTTCTTTTGTAAAAGGGCTATTTTATCATATAAAGATTTTTACTTTATAATTTTATTTCATAATTTAGTATAATTTAAGTTTTAAAATAAAAGATTTTATTGAGATAAAATCGAAAAAGAAAACAATGAGAAAAAAAGAAGAGAAGGAAACCCCACCACAAATCTTGTGAATTGCAGGAAACAGAGGAAGATTACCCCTACAACAGCACTCTGCCACTTCCACTGCGAACGTAACAACCCATTAATTTATAATCATCATGAATTTTTAATTATATTTTTGAGATTTTATAACTTATTAGTATTAAGGATGTAATTAATATATGTTTTACATTAATTGACATTAAATGAATAAATTAACTTTTATTTAATATTTATCTAATTAAAGTAATCTATAGCATTGCTGGTAAAGTTAATACTAATTTTTGTAAAAATTAATATAAAAAAGTATGTTAACTACATTCTTAATTAAGTTAGAAAAACTTTTTTTAAGAAAATTTTTAATATGTGCCTGTAAATCTCATTAATTATTATATTTATAGTTAATTTTACATTAATTTTCATATAAGATTCAAATAAAATATAAAATATAAAAATATAATATAATATTTTTTTAAAATTAATTTAAAATACCTTAATTAATGAGTTTTAACATGTAATTTTAAAATACAGATTAAAATAAGAGTACAAGTTAAACAAATGCTATTTTAAATTAATAATTAATGAAATTAAAGAAACAATTTCCTAAAAAATTTCTGATATTTTAAATGTGTTAGAGATCTTGATTTTTCTTTGTTTTCCATAGTAATTAACCTCTTTTCTATTCTCGAAAACTGCACGGATGACGGAAACGACATCGGTCTTGGTCGTAAAATGTGCTAGACCAAGCATGCCTTTCAACTGTTGTAGACAGATTAAAATGGCAGTCCCACCCATGAATCCGGTGATTGTTGAATGAGATAAGAAATCCACCAAAATCCCCAATCTGCGCAAAATATTAAATATATTTTCATTAAAGACATTATTTGAAGTGCTTTCCATAAACTCCCTATCCCATAATATTTGTTTTGACTTTTTTTTTTT